GGGGGGGAGGAGGAGGAGGAGGGGGAGAGAGGGGAGGAATGGAAGAAAAGACATGGACCTTGCTGGCTTAATTCCAAAAGTGCTCAGCCAGTCATTAAACACAAGTGAAGGAAAACATTAAAAAAAAAAAGTATAACCACAATTCTCTTGACTTTATAAACAAATTCTTTACTGCCTTCCAACTTCTGGCTGTTGGACTGTTTCTTGGCCACTTTTCAGTGGCGATTTGGGGGTTTTCCTCTTATTTCCTCCATTCTTCCAGTACTAATGTGTCCTGAAAGAGAAATTCCAACCAAATTAACATTCAGTGAAAAGCTGCAATTCTTCGCTTATTAAGTGTCCCATGCTCTTTTGAGGGAAGACCGTTTCTTTTTCATGTCAAACATAAGCCACAGCACAACATAACAAGGAGAGGGGGGCAAACAGAAAGAGCAATGAAATGTCCAGAAAACACAATGGCAGATTTCTGGCACATGGTAGAGGAGATCAGCCTTGCAAAACAAAAACTGAATTAAAAAATGGTGGCTGAGTGCAAAGCTTACAACAGGCTTAGTCCAATTTTTAAACCTACCAAGAAACTGCTGGTTTATGCAATTAGAACAAGTGGGTCTGGGTCTTATAAGGAAGACTTAAGATCTCTTCTCCAAGTTAATAGCCACCTCCATGTGAACTGAAGGGTTAAGCCAGAGCCAAGAGAAATCCTGCACATACATGACAAGGCCCTATTCTGGGAAGGGACAAAACCCAAGGTGCTGCACACCTGCAAGATACACTGACTTCAATTAGAGGTCTGGGTCTTCAGTGCTTTTGAGTCAGCCCCCAACACTCTCAGAGTTCAGAGGTTGTATACACTGAACTCTGTTCCAGTAAAGTGCAAACTGATGTGTGATGCACTCTTGGAGTATCAGAGGAACCCTGGCTGTGGTTTTGAGGGGCTGGCAAAAACAGGTGCTCAGAGCTTACAGCATTTAGCTCGGGCTAAGGAAGCATACAAGCCATACCATACCTACACCACATTGCAACAGCAAGGATTTAATATTATGACCATTCGTCAGCTAGAACAAAATGATAAGCTCACCTATGAGTACAGAGCCAATTCCTCTATCTACGTCAGCCTTTTTTTTTTTGTGTATGCAAAGGTTCAAAAGCCCCTGTGAGGGAAAGGAGAGGTGGTGACAGGAATATCTTGAAAGGGTCTGGAAAGGGACATGAGGCCAAATCTTCCATGTTGTGGATATTAAATGTTCTCATTATGCGTGCCTAGAGTACTGGATAGGTACATTTGTACATACTTCAAAACAAAGAGAAGCATGAGAGATCTTTCATCAGTATATTTTGCAGTGGTTTCAATTAGGGATGTTAAAATGCATTTATTTGTGTAAACACGTATCCACTGAAATTTTCACACCGGTGCGGGGGGGTGGGGGAGGAGAGAGGGGACAGAAGAGATGCAAGCACTTGCTTCTCCTTCCCCCTTCCCTGCTGCCTCTGTAGCAGGCTCATTGGT